TACATCGTACTAAACGATCTATGACAATCATGCTTAAATTAATCCTATGATTAGTCAATCAAATCTGTTTAATTTTGATATTCTGATTGTATTATAGAAACTGGATCGTATTGTACGATCAACAAAGACGATTTTGGTCATCCCATGGTTCGTCCAGGATGAACTACATTTCGGTTAAACTAATTATCCCTGACGATCGCAAAATTGTATAGGACGATCTGTACAAATACTTGAATTGATCTTCCAGGACAATGCTGATTGCACTGGCTAGAAGGGTTGTTTTGTACTAATCGTATAGGAATATTTTAGGATCATACTTGTATGATCTTTGATGGCTGAAATAATTTTTTAGGGTTTTTGAAGCCCTCTATTTAAGCTTTCTCCAAAGACATTGTATGTATCTTTGACATGCATTGAGTCTTCGTTCCTCTGAAGAAAACTTGAAGAGAGAGCCTTGAACGGAGGAGAGGAAAGAGTGGAGCATGAGAGGGAGAAGATCATTGTGGGGTTCAAGGGAATGTAGAGGGGGTTTCACATGGTTGCTCCTGCAAGCTTGCATCTCAGGACCATTGAATTCAAGATTTGTCTTGAAGGAAGTTTTGGGAAGAAGATCTCTTTGGTGTCAAAGGACCCGGCTACTTTGCCACAATGGAGAAGGTGAAAGAGTTTTGTGGTTCTCTGTCATTTCCTTGAGGGAGAAAAAGGAGCTTCGATCCTCTGTCGCATCGGGTTAGAGGAAGAGATTTTGTAAGGACTTCTCCGCCTAACTATGGGGGCTAAAGGAGAGTGACTAAAGGTTTAGTGCAATACCTGGAACAGGAGGTTCTAGGGAGCGGATGTAGGTCAGGTTGACCAAACCATTATAAATCTCTGATGTATTTGTTCTTGGTTTTATTTTTCTGCACTTTATTTTCCACATTTATTTTTCTTATAACTATGTGGGTAAATCTCTGATTTTCTGTTATTGTGAAATTACTTTGCTTCTGCATCGAGAGATAAAATTATCAATTTTTAGATGTTTGAAAAAGTTTTAAAAAGGAGAATTTTTCTTTTTTTTAAATAAGTTTTTAAATATTCAATTCACCCTCACCCCCCCCCTGATTCCCCCCCCCCCCCCCCCCCCTCTCTTGGTTAGCCTCGGAACTAGTTCTTTAGAGTTTCGGGTTTCACAACCCTCACAAACTTTCAAGTGATATTAGAGTACTGTCAAGTGGTATCAGAACACCTTCATGGGAGAATCATCATGAGCTCAACATGTTGTCAATAATCAAGTACATGAAGAATGGTGGTAAATGCAAATACTCATTAGGTGTTGTAACACCCCTGCACTTGATAATCATGCTGCAATAGTTAAATCCACCAACCCTCATATAGACAAAGGTAGTATGTTTGCAACATATTGCAAAGCGCCTAAAAGTCATTGTAATAGCAGGCAGTGAATGCTGCAATATTCTTACGACCAACAACCATTTGATGGAAGAGAAATACACTGATTCATTGCAGGTAAAGATGAAAGATATGCAGTAGATATAAGCTCCTACGGGCTTCTACAAGAGACCCGCTCTGAGCATTATATGTCATTTGCAAGTAGAAAAGAAAGACATGCAGCAAATGCAAGCTTCTACGATTGTTTGTAGGGAACCCATCACGAGTTCAATGCTACATACAACCAAGTATATGAATAATTGTAGCAAACTTGAATGCCTATAAGCAGCGCTAGAAGAATTGCAAACAAAGCAACTTGCCTGTAGAAAAAGGCATCAAGCCTATAGTGAATGCAGTTGCCAACAAGCGATAGCGACAAGTAGGCGTATATGAGCTTCCTATAAAAAGCGACAAATAATGCACGACAGTCTACCTATATGAAAAGGGCAAATGACCACACAATAACTCTACACCACCGAATCTGCAACATGTATACAAGCGGACAGAAAGCGTATATGAGCTTCAAAATAGAACGCTGTGTTCAAATGGCAGTTGCCTGCATAATTGACGAGCATCGAATATTACCAAATGCCCCCACATATGCACTGCAAAATAGGTATGCACAAATATAAAGAAATGCATGTATATTTATACACCAGCATGAGCCCTAGCGAGTGTGTTATAGGTACACACGTGGCGTCTAGGGATGCTACGCGGGTCAGTAAATGAATCCAAGTTCGAATTTGATCCTTCTATACGGATTAATAAGAGTCGACATGATTCGAACCATCAAACAAATGTACGGCCACGGTGTCAACCGAGACATTCATTTTGATATTTTCATATTAGGCCTTCAAGGCATATGAACAATGAAATTCACCGACAAAGGCCTGAAGCCTATAAAAAACTCGATCCTCTATTACCAAGTAAACAGAGTCAATAGGGTTCAATCAATAAAATGCAATTCCCCATAAATACCTCGATGATGACCTTGTTGAACGTAAATCTCAACCGGATGGGTTAACTCTACATTTTTAAATGCCACCGAAATGCTAAAAATTTTAAAATTCTAAAATTCCAAAATTCAAAATATTTAAAATTAAAATACAATCATCAACCACTTAAACCAAACCCACCACCATCCGCAACAATTTATCGAGAGGAACAAATTGAAAAGTATTTTAGCTCACAAAGAGCTTATATCTGGTCGAGAATATCATTATGATTCATTCTCAAATAATCTCCTGCCAATAAAAACTTTGCATGTATCCTCTAATCGGCGATTTTTTTGTCAAATGGCACCGTATTTAAACGGTGATGACTGGGGCTCTCTGAAAGAGGTGAGTTTCGCCAAATACAAACAACAACATCAAACCTTTTTCCTACTACGTAGGGTCAGCTACATGAATCCTTTTCTCCATTGTCCTATTAAAAGTCAAATTTTCGTTTAAATCTAATAAAGAGAGATTATTTCTAATATTTTCTAACCAAGTCTTTGGTGGTTTGCCGCCAAATAGCACCACTAAACTATGGTAATGGCTAGAGCCCATAAGCTCTTCAATAGCACTAAATTCTTGAGATATGAATTAATAGTATATAATCGATATGGTACAAAGCCCTCTGTCAGCTAAGTTGGATTCAATTTGTCTCTTTAGACATATCCATCCCAACTCTACAAGGTGCCCTTGGACGAAGCAACTCATGGCTACCAACAAGAATCCTTCTGTCAAGTTGGGTCGACTACCTCCTCTAATTAAATAGACTAGGGACCATGATGGCCTGGGATGACGAAACCATGAGATCTTGATCGGGCCCATCATCCATTCCCCCACCATTTGCTTTAAGTGCAAGATGATGAAATTTCTAATTTTAAAGGTCAAATTTCAAAAACTTAAACCAATGCTACTACTATATGCCATATGCACTTATTCACTATGTGTCTAATTGATGACTAGTCTTAATAGAAAGTTATCTCATGACTGGGAGGGGTAATTAATTATAGGGGATTGCATCAATAAGAGACTAGAACTCAGATCATAAAGTCCTCAAAAAATGAGGTCGAAATCCTGTGTAGTGTCTCATATACAAACTCAATCTGCCTTCCTAAAATTTACCTCGGAACTTAATCCGTTAAAACTCCCCCGAACACAGGGAGGCCAGAGCGTGAATTTTTAGAGCCCACAATAAGCAATACCCTACTTTACTAGCAAGCCTACTTTGTGAGCTAATAAACTAGAACCTACGAGTAAATGGAGAGAGGGGGAGAGAGGAACAAGAAAATCAGAGAAAATCTACAGATAACTTAAGAAAACTATAAATGTCAAATAAGCATGAAATTTACTAAAACCAGCCAAATTCAACAAAAGGTCCCAATTTGCTCCTCAGTACCCCTTTATTAATAAGGTTGTAAGGGTTACGAGAAAGGATAAATAAAAAAGAAAAAATACAACACTATACAGAACATCCATAAAAAGCTACACAGAGTATCCTAAACATGTGTCGCCCTCTGATTGCTTGAATGAGTATGAGGCCGGAAGGGCTCTGGCTAGTTGTCTCTGGGTTAGCTCAATAATATTGAGTAGGCTGGGGTGAGTGCCAGGATGAGGGGACATGCAACTAGTAGGCTCGATTATATTGTTGATAATTTGTATGACTGATCTAAAGTCACCTGAGAAGAGAGAGGCTTGTGAGAGGTTATCGCGGTATGTGAGAGGCATTGAGTTGAATGGTCGCGTCAAGATAATCTGAAAGTCCCGTGGATAGGCGATTTCCTGTAGCTGGGCTTAGCAAGCATTAGTGTGAGTGATCTCTTGGGGGGAGAGCGAGTGACTAAGATGGTGGTCCATATATGTCGTGAGTGTCAGATTGGTAGTTAGATGAGGAATCTCCAATCCGCCGCATGAAAGAGCGGAACTCCTTGGTGGGCCCAGGCGAGTAGCACCTGTTGATCATAGTAGGCAAATTCTCTAGTAAATTCCAGGTGTATAGCGCATCTCAAGTTATTAGTTGAATTTTGTTATTAGGAGCTTTTGAGGGTGAGTTTCTCTATCATGACCCTCCAGTTACCTACTAGATAACAGTAAAAGTATATACGAGTATACAAGTTTCTCCACCAAAAAAAAATTATCTATTCATCTTTCATCTGCGACTCCCTAATACATTCCTTCTGATTGCTGTTTTGAAATCACTAGTAATGAGCAAAGCTCAGTTGAGTTGGGATCTGAAGACTTTACATAGTGAAGAAAGGGTAGTTCTACCTCACATTACCATTCCAAAAAAGAAAAAAATATCAACAGAAGCCAGAAAATCAGTCTATCAACGTCAATTGCAGTTCTAACCCCTAATTAATGGCTAAGTATATAAGCCTGAAAGTTAGTTAGGATAAGGCAGATGATGAGATGATGATCATTTTTTTTTTTTTTTAGAGATGATGATCACAATATCATAAAGGAGAAAATGAAACAACTTCTGCTAAGAGGCAATATTACTATCATTTATGCCACCTGATATATATCGTTGTAGTTTAGCACAACAAGATACCAAAAATAAATAGCTTACTCAAAACAATAGATCACCTGTCATTATTATTGGTCTGCACACTTCCAAGCCGTTTGATAATTTCCATTCCACTGCATACTCTTCCAAAGATTGTGTGCTTACCTACACAAAAGGAACTGTACATTACCAGAAATATAATATCACTAGTAATTTTAGGTTCTATACCGATTTCAAATCCCACTGGACTAAATCTAGTTAGGCATTTCAGAAAACAATCCTGATTTCGGGAGTCAGCATATAGGGAGGTAAAACATCAAGCCCAGATTAAACCAACAAGTACAACAAAACTAAGTACTTAAAAATCTGCCCCAGAGATTGCTCAAAATAAATATGCCACCATTTCACGTTATTATAATTTAATAAAAGCACAAAACCGCTGCAAATTACATGCAGTTATTGTTCCAGATAGGAAGATTGACTGATCACAACTTTTCATTTTAACCACATCAACTTGAAATAAAATTGATTTTGATCAGAAAGTAGTCAAATAGCTTTTGACACAGCAAAACTCACCCTAGCGAAAGGTTATCTCATTATTTATTGGCGTACTTGATATTATAATATAGAAACAATAGATAATGGGAACAAGGAAACCTCACTTTCCAAACATGCTTATATTATTTTCGCATAATGCTAGATAACCTCAGCCATATGCTGCTCGCTATTGTACACGTGAACAATTATGAAGCTGCTTTCCAAATATTACAATGATTAAGGACATATCATTTCTCCATCAAGGTAACATTATCTGATATGCTGTCATGCTTACTGAACAAATTGAACCTATTTCTTCTTTTTTTTAAGCTAAAGCTGAAGGTTAAAAACATATTTTCTGAAAATTACAAGTTTCATTCAAATAAAAAAGTCAATCCAATAAATAAAGCATCCCAATTTGTTACCACAGAATTTTTAGAGACACATCTTCTCCATGGACATGCACTAAAAGAAAACATTTTGGGTACTTTTTCCAATGTCCATATTCCAAGTAAATCTTCAACAAGCTTTCATCCACAATAATTTGAAGCACTATCAGTAGAAACCTAAAGATTATAACCGTTATCTAAAAAGACGTTCAGGGAGCCTGCCTGAAAGAGCGCCCACCATGTGGTGCCCAGTTACCCCACAACAAGGCTTATATATTATTGTCTTGAGCAAGCTTATGAAAAAAGAATTGCTGGTGTTAAAAAATTGAAAGATAACTTAACCTGAACGCACCTTAATATTGGCGCATGTAAAAAAGTGTCAGATGATGTTAAAAAGATATGTACAAAAATATTTGAAAATATGGGGAGTTCATTTGAGTTGGTGGGTAGCGATTGAATATGACCGAAGTTGACCCGACCAAAATATGCTTGACGCGAACCCAAACCAATTATCGTACGAGTCGAAATACTTCACATGATCCAACTCGACCTGAATTTAGCCCATTTGAACCATTTCTTATATAGATAATGGATTTTTTTTGTTTTTGGTCAACACGCTTGTTTATCCTGAACATGGCCCATTTAACACATATTTGACTCATTTAACCCAAAATCAAGTGATAATCGGATCAATTTCGAGACAGCTTTGGATTTTTGGTTAAACCCAAACCCAACCTAAAAATTAATTGGGTCAAGATTTCAACCCGAATCTGACCAAAATAGTAATCAGGTCAATCCAAATATATAAAATTTTAGAGTCAATTTGAGTCGAATCATTTATTGACATCCCTATTTGAAAAGCTATATCGCTTCAAAAAATAAAGAAGTCAAAGAAATATAGAGAAAATAATTGAGAATAGAACAAATAATAAGTTTTGAAAATTAAATTGTGATACATGTTTAAAATGTATTATGTTGCCCCTCTGACAACATTGATATAAGCAATTTTTCTGTTTATGCTTTTTGTTAAAGTACAAATGATGTTTAACAAGTACATTCTAACACCCATGTAAAAGTACAAGTGAAAGTACATATTAATGTTTAAAATATTCAAGTTCAAATAACAAGTTCTAAAAGAGTTATATTATGACGCATATTTAAGTTTAAAACATATTATGTTGCCCTTCTGATAAAACTGGTATAATTAATCCTTCTATTTATGCTTTCTAAGAGTAAAAATCATTTTCTGTTAATTTACAATTGATAATTAAATTTTTTATTTATACCCTACAAATATGAGCATTGAATTTGCAATAAAAATTGGGATAGCCTACTGAGCATGTGAATGCTCACCCTATTATTTTATGAAATTGTTGACCTTCCGTATAAAAAAAAAAAGAGCCAAAAAAAAAAGAGAGATCGTGCATACCTGCTCTGCGCCGAACCTCGCACGTCGTCGCCATTCCTCGCACGACCAAACGTCGCGTCTCGCACGTCGCTCGCACGACTCGCTCGAGTCGTTAAAAGCCCGAAAGCAACGTGGCCTTCGGCCTCTTACGCGATTCCTCCTCTCGCCTCTCTCACGCATGCGATCCCTCTCTCCCTCTCCGACTCCTGCGTAGCTGTTCGACGTCGCTCCTTCTACAACTTTTCCTTGCTGTAGGTTCGGAAGTTACGACACTTCCGATCGGAAGCATCGAGCTGGAGTTCGCTGGCTGCTAAGGGTAACTTTCTCCCTTGCGACGCTTCCCTGACTCCTCCCGTGGCCGGCCGACTTCGCTCCTTCCGCCGATTTTCCCTGCCGTCCGACCGAAAGTCACGAAATTTTGATCGGGATCAACAGCCGGAGCTCATCGTTTCTCCGGCTCCCTCTAGACCGTTCGACTTTGCTCCTCCAGGCGCCTCAGTGGCTGGTCGACGTCGCTCCTTCGGCTCCGTTTGTGGCTGCTCGACACCGCTCCTTCTACGACTTTTCCTTTCCAACCGGATCGGAAGTTGAGACATTTTTATCGGAAGCCGCAAGGGGAGCTCGCTCTTGCTGTGAAGGTAACTCTCCCTACCGCACGCTTCTTTGGCCGAATCCCATAAACAGAGAAGAGAAAGAAAGGGGAGGGGGTTAATTTGTTGAAATTATTATTAATTATCTTTAATTATTATTTAATTCTAATTATAATTAATTATTTTATTATAATTAATTAATAATTAGTAATTAATTATCAGTTATAATTATTTAGTTAATTATAATTAATTTCGATTAATTATAATTAGTTACTAAATAATTATAATTATAATTAATTTGATAATTATGGTTAATTATAATTACTAATTAATTGTAAATTATAATTAATTAATTATTATTATAATGACCCCATACACGCCTTTATTGCGCGTGGTGCAAAGACTTTACACGGCCGCGGTGTCCTCGAAAGAGGGCACCTACCATACACGCTTTTCTTAGCGTGGTGGAAAAGACCCAGTTTCCTCGTAGTTTTCCCCTAAACGGGGGAGACGCCGGGAGGCTGCCAAAATTTCTGGTGAATGTACGATCATACTTGGACCTTTTGAACTCAAAAGACATGCAAGAATTGGGATTCAAATGAACAAGAACAGAAGACTTGTGGACTTATAGACCTTTGGACTTGAACTTGAACATAACCCAAATGACTAATAAAAGGCCGAATCCAAGTGAAATAAAATTACACTGGAACCAAAATTCAAATCATTTGAACAAGAAAATGAACTTGCAAAGAACTTCAGAGGACCGCAGAGGACAAAGAGCTTGAGCTTGCATATTGAGCTTGTGGACTTGATAAAACTCCAACTTGAACAAATACAAAGGATTACGGCACGAGTACAACATCAACACTAAATCAAGTCTAATCAAATCATGTTAAACTGAACCAAAGACTTGTACTTATACTCTGAATTCAAAATTAGAACAAGATGTGGACAACAAGAACTTGTGCATTTGAGCTTAAACTGCACGACGCCATGTAAAGTTTGGGTTTGCAAATAGTAGATTCAAATCCGGATGAATTCAATATGGCAGTATAAGACTTGCATGAATGTTGAAGACCCATACTGAGTTTGAAACCCAAGTCTAAATGAAATTGAACTTGGATCTAGACACATACAAGAGCCAAGTTTGAATCATGTGCGAGGGAATTCAAACTACAAGAACATCTGTATGGTCAATAGTGACTCAAAGTAGGTTACAAGACCTTGATGCATGAACTCCTACGACAATCCCTACACTTGCCTGTTGATTGAGATGGCAATATTGGAGACCGGCAATCAAAGATCCGCCTCCCTACAAACAAGTACAATCAACAAAGCCACCCGAGATTGGTGAAAGGGTGGATATGGTGCAGAAGCAATGGGTCTTCTACAAAACATTTTTAGGAGGTCGTATTGAATACAGCAGTCCCCTGCAAATGACTACAAACCACTTGTGGATAACAACAGTGAGAACCTCGTAAGCATAGCGAACCACTGTGGACACAAGTATGGATATCACCTATGACAGTGATGGTCAAAATCTACAAGTACACCGGGTCAAAAGCAGCTCGATGTATGAAAAGTATACTCCATTGCAAAATCAGAAAAGAAATGTTTGAACAAATTAGAACCAAACTTCCTGGTGTTTTAAAGACTCTTTTTGGTTCTATAATTAAGAAGAGAACAGTTCGGGTGCCCACAAACACCGGAAATAACAAGCCCACTACACTGATGATCTCAAGAAGAATTCCTTGCAAAGTAACGAACTCCAAAGTCCAGAAAGTCCTATCCCCGGTGAATGAGAAAAGAGAGGGGGTCAACATCAAGACCAAACACCACCGGATCTGCAACACTAATACAAGCAGACAGAAGACGTCTACAACCTACAATGCAACGCCACCGGATCTGCAACACTAATACAAGCAGACAGAAGGCATCTACAACCTACAATGCAACGCCACCGAATCCGCAATACCCGTGCTAGCGGACTAAAGGCGTGTATAAGCTCTCAAATGAAAAGTTGTGTGCATCCAAACGATAGTTATCTACACAACTACAATTATTTTAAAATACCTCTGCACGTGCGCTATAAACTGTATACACATAGGTACACTAAAGGGGTATATAAAAATCATCCGCATGGGCCCCGACAGAGTTCGAACCCGATCCTTCTATACAGATTAATAGAAGTCGACAGAGTTCGAACCTTTAAACGAATACACGGCTGTGACGACCAGTGTA